TTAAATATTTTTTGGGAATTCTAGGAGAGAAAAGTTACTTACATGACAAGGAAGGAAGGAAACCAGAAAACTGTCTTTTTGCCCAATATCATGCTTCACAGACAGAACTTATAAAACAAGAAATTTTGAGTCAGTTAAGTGGGAAATCTGAAAAAAGAAATATTCGAGTAGTTTTTGCCACAGTAGCTATTGGACTTGGTGTAAACATACCAGATGTAAGACACATAATTCATGTTGGTGTTCCAAGAACACTAGAATCATATTACCATGAAATTGGAAGGGCAGGCAGAGATGGCAAACCAGCTACTGCAACAATGTATTACAATGGATCTGATATTGCAAGAAATGTTCCAGGAATGACACAGTCAATGCGTGAATTTTGTCTACTTACTGACAAGTGTCTCAGAAAAACAATCATCAACTATTTAGGCTCTGACGTTGCATTCAGTGGTCTGCCACATTTATGTTGCAGCAACTGTGCTAAAACTTGTACATGTTTAGTTTGCATTTCAAATGTGATGATATCATCTTCTCCTGWTAAGTCACCTAAACAAGTGAGGGTAGTTTCTGAAAGTCAAAGAATTCAAATTTCTGATATGCTGAAAAACTACAGACTGAAGCTTGGTGCTCAAAGGAAAAGGTTTGGACCTATTGACACTACCACTGGTTTTACACTGGCATTCATAGAGTCAATCGTCGAAAAATGTGAACATATTACATCAGTTGATAACCTTTGCCAGTCATTCCCAATATGGGAAGTAAGTCATGCTCAAGTAGTCATGAAAGTCATATCTCAAGTGTGTGGAGAGTTAGACTGTGGTGATATATAATGACTAGAATGTCACTGATGGTGACTATTTCAACTCTATGGCTATTAATTTGATTTTGATACCTATGTCATTATAAGATCTATCAAATTAGCCTCGAATACCAAAATGACTTTAAGGACATGGAATTTCATCTTTTGGAATATAGCATTGTGTCTTTTGTTTGTCTTTTGAATTTACACCAAATTGGAATAAGTTTAGATTAAGGAATTTTAAGTCACAATTTTGTTATATGCTTTTTTCCAAAATATATTGAAGTTAATGTTTTTTACTTCTGTCAGTAGTGCCAGTTTACATTATATTCCCCTTTCCCCTCATATTTGTAGAAAAAAGACAGCAAACAACTGAAACAAGAGTTATGTTAAGTGCTTTTATTGAAGTTTTTGAAAACATGCTTAATCGTGATAAAATCTATCTTTCTTTTATTCCGTTTTAAGACCAATCTGGAGCAATTAAGTTTGTTATGACCGTTTTTGGTTGCATTTTTGCACCCTCTACTGTAAGCTTAATCATAATGATATAAAATTTTTATACTTCCAGCTTTCGAACCTCCTTTGTTTCATGGCGGTTTTTAACATCGAACTATGTCCTACCAATTATTCTAACCTTGTATGTCCATTTAGGATGTCATTAGAAGCTGTTAGGTCAGTTCTCTTTCTTTTTAAATAATAATCAACGCGACTTTTTTGCATGATTCAGGAACAAAACTATAGATAGATAAGTTTGGTTTGCTCAAATATTTTCATGTATGAAAATGACTTTGGCACATTATATATTTATGTGTTTCATCCATTAAAGGGAGCTGAGTTTGGCTTGATGTATTAAATATCACTGTCTGGCCTTCTTTCTTGGCTGCACTTTCTACACGTAGAATTTAGCTTTCTGGCGTAGCAGGGTACGGAATTTGGGTCAACAATCGGGAGGATTTGCTCACTGCCTTCAATCTGCAAACCCTAGAATATAAATATGCCAAGATAAATTAGGTGTAAATATACTCTACCGAAATTAAGAAAAACATTTTCGCTTCCGAGAATGTCTAGAGTCATTGCAACCACGGATTGTGTTTACAACCTAGATAAGTTTACTTATTTGACAACCAACTCTGCTCTCGTTTCATTTAATTTTACTTTCAACCCATGGCACTTAAGCCAGAATTGGAGTTCTTTTTTCTTTGCTTTTTCAACCAGCTTTTGCAGATTTGCTCCAGGTATTTCAGATACTTCAAGCTTATAAATTAACACATTCAATACAAAAATTGGAATTTTAATAAGCTCGATCGGAAGACAAAACAATCACTGCAATGCTTCCCCAACTAAATAAAAAGCTGTCATTTAACTTGTACTTACCGCTCTGCACACACAAACAAGATCTCATGAGTCTAAGAGTCTAATATCCATTTCTTCATGAAACTTAAGTATAAAACTAGAGTATAAATCTTGGTCCGTGCGAAATATTCCAATGCACTTGTATCGCAACATCCGGGACCTTCCAGGGGATCGCGCGCCATATTCGAAAAGGGGCTATCTGTTTTTCTCATAGACCCATGTTTGAGCATTCATATGCAATACAAATACCAATTGGGCAAGAAAGCTTGTGCTTGACAAGCAAGAATGTTTCAATTGCAAAATGGGCAATATTGCTGCATTATATTATTTTGGACATCTTTGCTTGTTGTTGGAGAACATTACAAAATATGACCTTTTGCTGTCTCTTAATTGTGCCTGGAAATTGTAAAAGAATCACGTTGTAGGAATATTAATGAATTCAATTTTGCAGCTCAAAGAAATTTATGAAAACAAATTTCCAACTGGTAACTTTTATTTTTTGTTCACGCACTTTGCAAGAAAGGCGTTCATTGCATTGACACATTTTCTCCACTCCTTTTGTTGGTCCTCAATTGCAATGTTGTATGCTTTAAAAAATGTATCTTTTATAAAGTCTTTGGCGACTTTATTTACTGCCCTCGTCCTGCCACCACCATGAATGCTACAATTTTGCAGTTTTCTTTTGTATACAGGTTTCTCAATAAAAGAACTGCAAAACTGTAGGGCGAGCGTGCTGACTTTTTTATCTCAGCTATAATCTCTTCTCTTGGCCGATCATGGGGGAGCAAATGATCAGGTCTAGTATCATTGGCATAAGAGCACTAGGTGTTAAAGCAGTGCCTGAGCCAAGATCAGACCTYGATACAGGGATACTAAAGGCACCTGTGTTGCCCTCAGGTGCCAAAGCAGTGCCTGTGCCAAGGTCAGGAACAGGAATACCAAAGGTACCTGGATTAACCCCAGGTGCCAAAAGCAGTGCCTGTTCCAAGGTTAGAAACAGAAAGACCAGGGTTACCCCCAGGTACCAATGCAGTGCCTGTTCCAAAGTCAGGAACAGGAATACCAATGGTACCAGGGTTACCCCCCAGGTACCATACCAGTGTCTGTGCCCAGGTCAGACCTTGATAAAGGAGTATCACTGGCACTTGGAGTAATATTAGCTGAAGGGCTAGCTGGGACATATTAAGGTTCATACATACATACATACATACATACATACATATTTTATTGTACCAAAAAGTAAAATAGAACTAATACAATGTGTATATAACGAATTATAAGGTACAGGCTATCTGCAATAACCATGAGGCTAACCTAGGCAGACAGCTTGACATGAAAAATAATTGCAAATTTGGTACAGTAAGAGAATGAGTAAAATTATATAGTGCAAGAAAAAAAGAAAAAGAAATTACTTTTT